TCATAATATTATGACTTTATTTTTATACGACTTTGATGTCGTAATTTTATGACTTTATTCTCGTAATTTAAAAAAATTTTAAAATCTTGTGTGGCCCTAATACTCCGCCGTACAGTGGGCATGCACCCAAGATGAAAATTTTAGACCCCTCCATGATTTCTAAGTGGTAGAACTTGCAAAGTTGCAGAGTGTTCACATACTTGTTTTCCTCACTGTGTATACAAAAATGGTCCCGAACTCATAATAATAAACACTGCCTATAGAAGAATCCACAATGACAATAATTTATCCCCAGAATTAATCTAAAAACGCATGTAACTTATACTCGCAGTGTGTGTGGTGCTTCATTTACAGCGTTTCTCATGGCACATGTGTATAGCATATACAGCTACAGTATAAGCTGCAATATGCACTCAGTCTTCTTCCCTGAAGATCTCTGTCAGCAGCATAAAATTGGGGGGCGTGTGACTGGTTTTGACATCTACAACTAATTTWGGTGACTTTCAGTAGCTTTTGCTTTGATTATTTGATATTGTAGAGGTCCTACATTTGTCTCTGATGTGTTGTCTCATGCAATGATTTTCTACCTTGCTTATTTATGGTCACTCTTATTTATTAGCCCTAAAATTTGCACCAACCTTGAAAGTGTAGCCTGAACAGGTTCACTAATGTCTCGTTTTATACTTAAAATAGGAGTTGAAGGACTGTTTTACCAGGTGATTTGTGGTGGATATTTTTTCTGTCCAAAATACAGCCAAGTTCACCAAATATTAATTGATCAAATCACTATTGATGAAAGCGTTACAGTTTTTCTTTGACTTTTTTGTGAGGTACTTTAAAGGTTTGACTGCTCCATCTGTGGTTGTACAAATGTGGGTAAAACGTTGATTTTACAGTTTGACCAGAAACATTTCAGATGTATTTGAATTAGAATTTCTTTATTGTCATTATACAAGAAGCACAATGAAATTTACAGAAGAGCAGCTCGCAAAGACTTGGGGTGTGAGGGGTCCCTGATGATACTGCGGACAACGAGTCAGATCTCCAGAGATTGAAGAGGGCAGCCAATCAGTCTCAGGGCAGTGCTACCCTGTGGAGCTGCTTCCTCTCTGCCACAGTGCAGCTGGAGAACTACAGCGACATGCCATGGCTCAGCACTGACTCCACTGGGCAGTGATAGGACACCAAGAACTCAGTTCTCAGGTTGTTCTTGCTGAGAATCTGTTGTGCCCTGTTCATGATTGACGTAGAGTTTACAGTCCATGTCAGATCTTCACTGATGTAGATGCAGGGGCCGGCCTGATATTTTGCACCATCTCCACTCTGTCCCCATTTATAGTGATGGGCTGAATGTTCTGGTTTACGCTAAAGTTGATGATCAGTTCCTTCGACTTGGAGAGGTGTTCAGGTGGAGATTATTGGTGGTGCACCAGACAGAGTTTTTTGTTCCATGTTCACTCTGTAAGTGTAAGTGCTTCAGTACTCCAACGAAAATGA